ATTATACTTTCCATTTATCCGTTTATTATAGTACACTACATTCATTTCTTTTTAATTACATCATTGCATTTTCTTGTTTCAATTATTCTTATTATAATAGCACTCTCTTGGTTAGCACTCCTCTTTAACTTACCATATATATATATATATATATATATATATATATATATATATATATATATATATATATTATATATATATATATATATATATATATATAATTTGTGATATAGAGAAAAACGGGAGAAATTTGACAAGGTATTGAAAAGGATACATTTTTGGACATAGAGAGTTAAAAGAGATCTCATATTCTACAATAGAGTAAAAATATCTCTTATTTTACAATACATATCAAGAGCATACTTCCATCGAAAGAAGTTGTGCTAATTATTTCACATATAAGCAGTACGTAATGCATAATTGCATGGCGAAGCATTATAGTTAGTTTTGAGTTTGTTTGTAAGCAACTGCCTCTTCAAACGTGCTGCAACACTTGCACCCTTTGTATCCACGTCCACCACAGCAGCCATGTCTGCATCCTTTGCTTCCACCACCGTTGTTGTGCCCTCCTCGTCCACCACCGTTGTTATGCCCTCCACGTCCACCTTTGTATCCTCCGCCGCCATGTCCACCACCTCCACTGTATCGTGAATGTCCACTGTCGTTAATCTGACCTGCAACATTAATTAGTGTTATTCTATAACTTTGAAGAATTATATGCTTTATAAAAATAGAACACGTAAAGGATATATTTTACTTACTATCAGTGTTTTCAGTCAACTCCTTAGCTGCAGCCACTTCGGAGGCAACGAGAAGGACAACAGCAAAAGCTAGAGCAAAAAGAAGGAAAGCTCTTGTAGCCATTTTCACTTGTTTAATACAAAAGGAAATATATGGAAGAGGGATGTGGAAATTAGTGTGTTACAACGTCTCTATTTATAGATGGTTTTATGAAAGAAAAGTTTATTGCTATGTCCCACTCCTATATTTTATTCCAACCAAATTCGTATTTAAATGTTTGGTACGATACTGCCATTTTCTTTTCTTTTTTTTTTTTTTTTTTTTTTTTTTTTTTTTTTTTTTTTTTTTTTTTGCATGTGCTTGAATTTTATTATTGGTTTATTTTTTAATTGAAAATTATTACGACAGAAAAAAAGCTGCCGACAAAACAAGGAAGAAGAATATATGAATATCGAAATAGACTTAATAGGGGTTGAGACCAAATCCATGAAAAAAAGAAAACGATTTAATGTCATAAAAATGTCACACTATAAATGTCGACTTGGGGAGACATTGACGTTGGAAGATTTAAGTAAACTTGTTGAAAATACCTATTGTATTT